CGTGTGAATTCAACCAACCCGCACTTGACCAGCGTGGTTGACTATGGCCTAATAACCCTTAACTTAGGGTAGGCTCCGAATCCCTTGGTGGGAACGTATAGTGAGCTGATGATGTAGATATCTCATTTGAAATCTACAGTAAGGGATGCTATTTTATTAGTAACAGCTATAAGAAGACTAAAAGAATCCCTGCTAGAAAAGTGACTTAGAACAAAAATTTAACTTTTAATAAGCAAATAATAATCAAATTTTTTATACATGCTTTATCATTAAATTAAAAAAATCTATTAATTTGAAATTCAAGGAATAAGTCCATATTTAAAGCTATAATTTTGGTTTACATAATTATCACGGGACCACGTGTATGATCCGAGAAAATATTTCCAGAATCGATTTCTAAGGGAATTCGATTTGACAAAAGGCGCGATTCGATCGATTCAACTGTCACTAGTGCATGAGACAAGTGCTGCCACCTGTCGCGACGTCGTGTGAAATGATAGTCATAGTGATGTTACAAAAAACCGTAAATTTCATTTACCGATATTTCTCCGAACCGAAACATAAAATTGCTTAACTTAATAAAATAGAATTTTACAATAGAAAATATTGATAATTACAGCCTAAAAATTGATGGGCAAAATATAAAACATGTTTATGAACAAGTAAGAAATAATTGGTCGGTAATAATATGTCAACAAGTTCTCAGAAAAACATCCATGCTTTGATTTAATTTATCTAGAATATAATGTAATATTGCTCTAACTTGGTCTATAATCTGGAGACAAGAACACAGCACTATTTCACATGTTTTATAGACGATCAATGATTTGACGTAAAATATTTACAATAAACTACTTGGGGAGCCATACTCCAATTCGACACGAATGTCATTAGTCATTAGATCTCCGTATTAGATCAAACGTTGAATATTCGAGTGTTTATTAATTTAATAAAGCAAAACATAAGTTAATTAATCTCCTCAAAACTAATACTGAAATTGTTAAAAACAAATTTATAACTATAACAGTGAACTGAAATTGTTTTAAGAAAGTTTCGTTTTCAGATTTAAATTACATTCCAAAGACTTCTTCAGTTGGTTGTAAAGTGGGCTTGAGTATTTTTAGTAGTTATGTCTCTTAACAATATGATGTCTCAAAATACCTGCACTTTTTTAGGTTAATCCAAAAGGGTGACGTTTTTTGAACCACGTTAAACCAGGGTTATAATTAGTCCAGAAAATATCGAGGTTTCCTATTTCAATTTTTTTAATAGCAATAATATGAAGCAGGTTACTAAGAGCCCACGTTTAAAAGGATTATTCGTTGGCCGCCTTGACACTTGAGCATCGAAGATGAGAAAAAAAGGAAAAATAATTGTTGGGGATTAGCTGCCAGTGTCAAAGTGTTAAATATCGAACACACGGCGTCTAATTTGACAACTGTGGCCGAAAACCTCGAGTCTGTGCCTTGTCTGTGCCAACGCGATGTGAATAAAAAATAAATATTTGACAAGGTGTGTCGTATTTCTGTTGAGATGTGACAGTTCGATTTGAAACTATGTCGCCGCTTCAGAGTTGCGATGCCTTAATCTCTGAATAGGATGAATAATATTTTCATTTAATCGCGGACAGACATGAAAAACTCGTTGGTACACCAATAAATATATAAAATATACTTAACATTATAAAAATATAACAATAAGTATGTTTGTCAGCATTTGCCATAAACTCCATAACTTGAAAACAATAGCTATTTGTTATTTTTTTTAAATTTCCTAGAAATTTCAATATATTATAAATTAAAGGAAGACATAACATTTGTTTTAGTAACTGCAAGTAACTCTTTGTAAGCCTATGTAGTAAATCCTACATTTATCAGTATTGTCAGACATAGACAAAGAAAAAATCTAAAATAAGTAAATTAATTAAATACTTATTGTGTCTTTTGTGTCTCAGTTTTTGGGACTAGCTTAGTCACCCTACATATGAATCATTTTTCCCGATAAAATATTGATTGATTTTCATTATTATTCGGCGTACAAACTGGTTCACAGATCAGATTTTTTTTTATGACAACAGATAATAACTCGTATGTGAATTACCTTTGCTATGTATATGGCCACCCACGTAAGTAATAATACAATAACTGTGAGTTAACAAAGATAAAATAATTACAGTTACATAACTCCTAAAATTGAGTATTTTGTCGTAATTTTAAAATTTTAATTAGCCAATTTTTCTTAACCTCTTTTTTATGACATGTCGGAACATACTGGTCCTTAATATTAATAATATTATGTTTGTTTTCATACGGACAATGGGAGTTCGTGTTATCATAATATCTGTAATCCTCCGGGGACAAACAATGCAACCGTAAAAGTGCGCGGTAAAACTACTACGTCACGGACAAAAACCGATAAACAACAATCGCTTCCAAATTCCACGTCATTGATCTAGATCGTCTTGTCCACAGACAATGCCATTATTCTTACGAAAATAAACAACCGCATGCTTCCAGTGTCCGATTGAAAAATTAAAAAAAAACGATGCACCATAGACACGCCGGCGCGATCGAATTTTGAATCGAATGTAGGGCAAAGATTAGGGTCGTGGTAAGGATTGTTTTTAATTAATTTATTTTAATAATTTTTCATTTTTAAAATATCATAACTGTGGTTTTGCTTATTGATTACAATGATTTTTTAGACAATAAACTGCATGTTTCATCGTGTGTTTAAGTATTTGTTTTAAACCAACATACGCGCAAAAACATTACCCTCTTTTCAGTTGGTTAAAATTATATTTGTCATCCCTCTTATTATCTTTGGAAAAACTGAGATAACAATACGATTTGTTATGGTTTTTCAGTATTAGAAATTGTATTGGTGAAATACGTAATCCAGTCACTTAATATCATTACATTTTAAAAATGAGCTTTGAAAAGTTATGAAAACCGTAAATATTAAGCAATTAAAATATTAAAAATCTCTAATAATTTTTCTCACCCCTAATCATAGACAACAGGCATGACGTGTCACACAAAAAGCGCGCGTAAAATATTTTGATATTTGACAACTGTCACAGGAATCTGATCGATATCTGTTTATTTAAACATTCTTGAGTTTTGCTGAATCACGCTACGTTTGTTGGGACAATATATTGGAAGCAAAATTATACAATTTCGGTAACTATAATAAGTTTTCATGCATGAAACGTAAAATCTCACTGGCCTAAAAATTTGTACTTACATAATCTAACGTAATTTTACAAAGAAAATGAGATGAAAATCGAAATATTGTATTTTACACAAATGTTTCGAAAATAGGACCATCATTAAATAAATTCGCTAAAAAATATTGATTAGCTGAGTTTACATTTTTAATAGAAAAAAAACACCTTCAATCCATCTAAATAAAGTAACTAAGTAACTATTAGCTCCAATTTCATCATCATCAACCTACCCTTAACTCTCGGAGGGTCGGCACAGTATATACTCCTCCATACATCTCTACCAGCAGTCATATCTGAATCCACCCCCTTCTTACGCATATCGTCTTCAGCTTTAGCTATCTTTTTAATATAAAAACACAGTTCGACTAGAAATAGTTACATCATTATTATGTTTTTCACGTGAATGTATGTTTATTCCAATGGTAGCCCTTGCCTAAACCAATTTCAAACAGTGCATACCCACACGATTCTAATTATCCTCGAAGTTCAGCCATTAAAGCAAATCTAAATAAATCTAGACACATTTAAAACAATAGGGTATGATGATATTTTAATTTTAAAAAAAACACGACGGTACATCACACCGCGCCGCGTCACTTCCTTGGCTTCGGTCCTGGTCCGGCTTCGTCTACTATCGAGCGAGGCCGCGTCGCTCGCGTGTCGCCTTTTTGTCTATTACAAGCTTTAACTTAATTAACGAAAAGGCTTCGCTGTCAGGTACTCTTGAATTAGGTGATGTTACTCGCGGAACAAGAGAAACTAATGCTCTAAGCCTAGTATACTTTCGTGACAAAAAATGTTTAAGTTTTCGTTTTTCAAGGCAAAATCAACATTGAAATTCTGCCACTGATACAAAAAAAGTTGACGTCTTTAGTTTTAATAATCTTTATTGGTTTACCGTCAGACTATGCGTACGCAAACTATCAACTAATTGTCAACTGAAATCCTAAATTAGTTTGTTAAATGTAACAAATTGACTAACGTAGCCAATATGACAAAACTCCTTTGAATCTTGAATAGCAGGTGAATTAGACGCCAGGTGACACTGGCCAGTAGTATAAAACGTTTCAAAATTAATTTTGAACATCGAACATAATCAGTATACAGTTTTTAAAATCGAACGATAAAATGTGTTACTTTATTATTGACTAGTTAATTAACAGCAGAATTCAGTCGCTAAGAGGTTCCCCTAAGTGTAGATTCAGCATAAGAAGTCTAAAGTAAGAGTCTCCATTAGTAACTATTTATCGACTCTGAGTGCGGTAATTAGTTTATTTTATGATTTTATCTCATGCATTTATAAGTCAGTTTTAAGCTTGAAAGCCACTTTTGAATCGAAAGTGCCAAAAATATAAATCTTCAGACTTCTTCCGTGACTGTGAATTATATTACCTATACATATTACTTATTACATTACCTATACATATTAATTATATTTAAATTTTAATTTTAAATTGTATTAAAACTGTGTATTTGATATATAAAAACCCCATAGTTATGCATATTTTAACTATTACGACTACATTGCTGCCATCTATTGTCTCAACATTCCTAATCGACTGAAACAATCAAAAAGTAGTTACTGCCATCTATGGCCAATTTGTTTAATTTTTCATTAAGTATTTGAAAATAATTCTCCTTAGCTGTAATTATGACAAAATTTTATTTATTATAATATCACAAAATCAACTGTAATAAAATTATATTAAAAAAAATAAAACCTAAAAAAAATATTAATGGCAATGTGCGGTGAAAAATTGTTTTCGTGTAGCACTAGCAACATTACATCAAAATCAGACATGGCGCGTGTTAACAAGTCACCGCAGGTGTTACATTTTTTCCTTTATTTCTGTATAACAATATGCTGTTTTTCAAGTTATGTGAGTGCAACTCATGAATTAGATGAAGATAACTGGAGGGAAATACTCCAAGGAGAATGGATGGTGGAATTGTGAGTTTTATCATTTTAGTCTACACACCGGTAAAAAAAATTGTGTTTTCGAAAAAACGTGTATTTCTAGATAGATAGCTGTTTTTTCATCAATTACACGAAATTTAAGATCATCATTGTTTTTTTAAATTGTATATGTCCTTTTCAATAACTAAATATTCTAATTTGTTATTCCGTGGGTCGTAATGCGAATTGGGTTCAACAACCATTACAAGGACGGCGAGGTCTACAATGAACCGTTTTGAAATCGTGACGCATTCATCTATTGTAGCCGGAATTTAAAAATGTACAGAACTCGTTTACGACTCATGAAGAACACAAACAATACTATAGAATAAACACGTTTACGTAAATGATTTTATCGATCCTTCTCATTTTCATTGAAATCTTAACTGTGTAGTCCACAATAAATGCTTACAAGACACTTCGTTTTTCCTCTAGTTCTAGTCAGACATTCCAAATCTAAAAGAATTTAACAGAAATTACTTTAAATCCAAAGATGATATTGGTCTTTAATTATTTTATTTAAAATGCCTAAGCCTTCCAAATAATCAATATAATTTACTAAAACAAATTCAATTCCATCATCTTAATAGAAAATTTTGGTGTATGTTACAAAGTACAGAAGCCCCTTTAATGACACAAATAAAGGATAAATTTTATGGTAATTCTATAGGGAGGCCTATGTCCACTGTGTTAAATTAAATTCAGCAATGGTCAAACTACTGGCACACATGTCATTCCTTGTTTTAATTTGCTAGATTTGATGACAAACATTGGGACAAGTGAATTAAATAAAAACATGTAATACATATAATATTTTATAACAATTATTATTTAAAGATTTAACTCTTAGACAAAATCAATTAATATTTTCTCTATGTACCAATATAAATATTTTCACAGTCTAGAATGATGTAAGTCTAAGCTTAGTCATTGTCTGACATATCTAAATTATTTCAACTTATTAGCAACCTTGGAAAGCTAAACATAGTCTGGTCTAGAATTATTACTATCATTTATTTAATGTAGAAATTATAATAAGTCACCTTGATTAATAGTTTTAGTATTATTTTGCATATGAATTCTTTAGCTCTTATATTAAAATACTGGGATTTCAATGTTATTATTCAAAATACTAAACAATCTGTATAAAAATAGTGTTGCATAATTTTTTTCTAAGAGAACATGTTTTTGTACAAATTTACTTAGAAGTAAAGGTTGTTAGGAAAAAAAATCAAGACTAAAGAATATTTGATCTTTGAGATGTACGAAGAAATGATTTTAGTTTATTGAGTTTCTTCGGAGAGTTTGCATTGTTGCAATAAATCCATGAATGTACACATGCATTATATACACTAACTATGCAGTTGTGGATGATTGAGTCCATACAACTAAGATTAAAACAACAGTTTAACACATGCTGCGCTTCCAAGACAATTTTGTATGAAAATAAACTAAGTAGGAAAGTTAATGAATGTGTTAATACTTCCTATAATCACTAAATATATATATATATATAACTTTACAGTTACGCCCCCTGGTGCCCGGCGTGCAATGCGCTAGGACCAGCATGGACAGAGCTGACCAACCGTGCGGCCCGTAAGAACCTCGCCGTGAAAACAGCAGCAGTAGATGTTACCAAGTCACCAGGACTTAGCGGACGATTTGTTGTGACTGCATTGCCTACCATATTCCAGTAAGTGTTGTATTGTAATTAGTAACTCTTGTCTGATTATTTGATGCCCTCAAGCTTACATAAATTTGTATATACCAAATGAAAATGAACCTTTGGGTAACCTCAGCCGAAAGAAACAAAATGAAGCATTCAAATCCTGCTAAGATTCAAGTTTTTCACATATAAAATGTCCAATATTTTATGGTGCAGAATACCATTATTATAATGCAACCTGAACATATCTGAAGAAATTCAAAGATATATGTGAACTGTATAGTGAGCTGATGATGATATTAATCTTTCCAGTGTCAAAGATGGCCAATTTCGTCAATACAAAGGTCCTCGTGATGCAGAAGCCATGTTGTCGTTCGTGGAGCGCGCAAGCTGGCGCTCAACTGATCCCTTATCCGCTTGGAAGTCACCAGATTCTCTGCAGATGAGTCTTGTTGCTCATTTCTTTAAACTCAGCCAGGGGCTCAGGGTGAGTGTGTAATAATTAAATTTACTTCCTGATTAAATATGGTACATCAAACTAACATTATAAGAGTTATTTTACAAGTATATAGCATAAGTAAGAGTTTTCTCGCCTATAGAAGTTTATCTCTAATCCGAGTTTCTCGCTTATAAAGGTAGTATATCGGAATCAGAAATGACTAGACTATAGAGGTTTCTTGCTAAGTTATCTTACTAATATTATAAATTCAAATGTTTAGATGGATTAATTAATGTTTGTTTGAAGTTATCTCCAGAATCACTCAACAGATCTCGATGATATTTGGCATAGATGTAGAACAAAGCCCTGAAGATCACATAGGCTACTAAGTTTTTTTGTATAATAATACTTTGTGGACCGAGTCGCGGGCGACAGTTAGTCTAATATTAATTGTCATTCTATATATAATTTCTAACTTTTTTAAATTAGATTATATTGTATTCCAGAGTGTCCACACAATGCTAATGGAGACCTACGGCCTGCCTACTTGGGGTTCATATCTCATCTTTGCTGTGGGTACTATATTTATCGGAGCACTACTTGGTCTGGTGAGTTTAATTTGATAACATTCAGTTAATTATTTAAATTTCTACATAGACTGAAAGTAAAAAAAAAATAATTATCAAATTATTTTGCAAAAAATTATGTCTATGGGAGGCTTTATAAAAAATATATGTGTAAAGACAATTTCAACTGGGCCAGAGTAGTTGACTATGACCTAGTCACCTCTAACTTATGTAGACATCAAGCCTCTCAGTGGAGATGTATAGTGAGCTGATGATGAATCTACTTAAGGGTAAAAGTAAATCAACTTTATAAGTTTATATTAAATATAAAAGAAATTAATGTGACAAAAATCAAATTTGATAAATGTTCGGATGAATGTTTGTTAGGTGTCTCCAACAGTTCAACGCATCTTGCTGAAATTATTCATAAATGTAGAACACGGTTTGGAAGAACACATAGCCATTTTTTTTGAGTATATAATAAAGTTAAACTTACATAATGAAATATATTTCCAGATGCTGGTATGTATAATAGATCTGCTGTACCCGCCACGTCGTCCAGACAAAGTGACCGTGTCTATCGCAGAGGCTGAACAGCGCAAGAAGGATGCCAACAAGTCTGATGATGAACAGGTAACAAGATGTTTACCGTCTAATCTGAATAAGCGAGAGTTAAAGGATTTCAATATTTTTCTCGCTTATAGAAGTTTCTCTATAACCAGAGTCTTTGTTAACTGTTGCCCTTGGTTAGCGTAGAATTATTATTGATTCCGACTAATTATCTTATATATAAATTTCTCGTGTCACAATTTTCGTTCCCATACTCCTCCAAAACGGCTTGTCCGATTCTCATGAAATTGTGTGAGCATATTGAGTAGGTCAGAGAATCGGTCAACATCTATTTTTAATCCCGCGCGGGCAGAGTCGCGGGCGACAGCTAGTACTACCATAATAAAAATTGCGAAACTTTGAAGAGATAGATGGATTTCTTACTACATATTTAGAATTATAGTTAAAAACAAATCTTATCATTCCTATATAAAAAAATTAAAATTCCTTGTAGAATTGTTTATGGAATTATTGTAGAATATTTTGTAAAAAAGTATAAGTTTCTTTGATGGTAAAAATACAGAATAATTACTTGAAAGTGATATGTCCGTATGTCTGTATGTTTGTAGGAATTGATAAACGACGACATAGTGGACGAGGCTGAGCACTCTCAGAGCGATGGTGAGAAGAATTCACCTAGTGACGTATGTATTACTTATAATTCACCTCCTTTCCTTTTTATATCTCCTTTTTTATACAAAAGGTAGAAAATATTTTTTTGTAGTAACCACTTAAAAAAACAATTCAAACAACATATCAATCCCATAGTATTCATTTAGTTAGATAAATCTATACTTAGGGTCTCAATAACTCATTTTGGTTTTACTTTGCAGACGGAGGAAGAGACAACGACGAAGGCGGAGGGTGCCGGCGACGACAAGCCCAGCGAAGTACGCAAGCGGCGCCCACGCAAAGCTGACTAAGCACCCACAAATAACCTCA